TCGTACTCTCTTTTCATCCAGATTCCTGCACAGATTACTCCAAGAATGACTATAATAAAAAATCCTATTCTAAGCTTTCTGTTCTTACGGGGCATGCATTTACTGATCATTCATTGTATTTATAGTTATCAAATTAGATCACAGAGAATGAACCAATAATAAATATCCAATAAAACATCACTAAAAATGAATTTGCTAAACACAAAAAGAAGTAAATTGTTTCTAGCAATTTAATATACAGGTTGTGTAATCATATGATGAAGAGAATAAATTATTTATTTTCTATACATAGTAAATTCATTTTTTCGATAGTAAAAAAATGGCTAAAAATAACACAAACAAGAGAACTAAAAAAGATGATAGTGTTTACATAAACAACGCGTGCAAGACCTGCGGCCAGCAGAAGCCCAGAAGAAAAAAAAGATATCTGCTCTTTGCTCTTCTGACCATTGCAGCAGGATATTTGCTGAAGATGGGGTACGAGAGAACGTTCAAAAAAACCATCATTATGAATCTAATGGAAGACATTCTGAGCTCAAAAACAATCACGTGCATGAACTTGAGCGAAACCACAAAAGCCAAGCTGCTGTATTTTGCAGAAATAGCTGCCTTCAATCCGCACTCTGGGATAGACGAAATGCCTGGGTCAAAAGTTAGCTCGCTGGGACTCCACGGAAAGCACCCCATTACAATCATCCCGGGCATTGCAAACACTTCGCTGGAGCTGTGGAAGACAAAAAAAGAGCACATATCGTTTTTTAGAAAAAGAATCTGGGGGTCGCACTCCACGCTGACTTTTATGCTGCACAACCGCGCAGAGTGGATGGAAAGCATGAAGCTGAACCCCGACACAGGGCTGGATCCTTCGGGGATAAAAGTAAGGGCAAGCTGCGGGCTTGAGTCCTCAGACTTCTCCATTCCCGGGATGTGGTTCTGGTGGAAAATAGTTGAAAACTTGTCGCACATTGGATACGATGCAGCTGACGTGCACTTTGCAGCCTTTGACTGGAGGCTTGGCATTGAAGAGATGGAGATCCGAGACGGATACTTCACAAAGCTGAAAATAGATATAGAGCTGCAGAACTCTCTGAAAAAGGAAAAAACCGTTATTGTAGCGCACAGCTTGGGGTCTCTGATATTCCACTATTTTATGCAGTGGGTGTCAGAAAAAGACAAAGAGTGGGTTGACAAGCACATACACGCAGCCGTGTACATAGGGCCTCCTTTGCTGGGAGCACCAAAGGCCATTGGCTGTCTGATAGCAGGCGAAGTCAAAGACACAGCTGACATGGGAATGATACAGTACACGATAGTGGAGCTGCTCTTTGGAAGAGAACAGAGACACCAGCTGTTCAAAACATGGGGATCTCCGCTGTATCTCCTGCCAAAGGGCGGGGACAGGTTCTGGAGACGCAAAAACATGGAGAATTTAGACCTTGTTGCCGTTGAAAAAGAAAAGATAGCTGCAAAAGGGAAGAAAAAAGTTTGCAAAGCACCGCTCGAGAAGCACAGGTTTATTAAGTACGAAGAAATCATGGAAATGATCAAAGAGATTCTTCCGCCGCACAACAAAACCATACACAAGAAAATAGTGGAGCCAAAAACAGAGCAAGACACATGGTCAAATCCTCTGCTGTCTCCCCTTCCAAATGCTCCAAATCTGACAATATACTCGCTGTACGGAGTGAACAAGCCAACTGAGTGTGGATACTACTTCACAATAGAGAAGGACATATACCACATAGACAAAAACAAAACATCAGACAAAGAAAGTATTTTCAAGGGCATTGTGATAGCAGATGGTGATGGAACAGTGCCCATAATATCGATGGGGTACATGGGAGGACACGGATGGAAAAATAAAGAGCTAAATCCGCATAAGGTAAAAACAGTGATCAGAGAGTACAAACACATGCCGTCAAACTCTCTGCTGGAGCCGCGAGGGGGAGCACACACAGCAGAGCACGTGAACATCCTGGGAAACTACAGTTTGATAACGGACATTCTGAAAATAGCCTCGGGAGAGAGGCTGGATGACGAGATTATATCGAATCTCCCAGAGCTCATCGAAGAAATAGAGAAAAAAGAATAAAGATAGGAATCAGCCTCTAAAAAGTGCAAATACCGCAGAAAAGGATCGCACAAGAGATATATATGATGGATAAGCGAAAAACAGAAGATTTTGCATATAGTGCAGGCAAACAAATAGACAAGTGCGAGAAATAATAACAATAGCAAAGTTGCAAAAATAAAAAATGGAAGAACAACGGGGCGCGAAAAGAGACACAGAAAACGAAATAAGAAATGTGTGGAAGCACAACCTCGAAGAGGAAATAGAGCTCATGGCGCAGAAAATAGAAGAGTATCCGTACATTGCCATGGACACAGAGTTTCCGGGAGTTATAGCGAAGCCTATGGGCACGTTTTCAACGCAGACAATGTACACATACCACCAGCTGAGATGCAACGTAAGCCTGCTAAGTCTGATCCAGCTGGGGATATCTCTGTCAAACGAAAAAGGCGATAAGCCCGTGCCAAGCACATGGCAGTTCAACTTTCATTTTGATAAGAAGGCAAGCATGTCGGCGCAGGAGTCTATGCAGATACTTGAGCACGCAGGCATAGATTTTGACAGGCTTAATAAAGACGGAATAAACATCGATACATTTTCTGAGCTTATCACAATCTCAGGGCTCCTGATGAACAGATCTCTGAAATGGGTGTCTTTCCACTCGTCGTACGACTTTGGATATTTTATTAAAGCCATAACAGGCCAGGATCTTCCCAACACGATCGATGAGTTCTCCTACACGCTCTCAAAAGTTTTTCCGTACTTCTACGACATAAAGTACCTTATAAACCTTCTTGGAAAGAAGGGCGGTCTGCAGGATCTTGCAGACGAGCTGTCGGTTGAAAGAGAGGGGATCCAGCACCAGGCAGGGAGTGATGCTCTTCTTACGCTCAAAGTATTCCACACCCTCAAAACACAAATCATTCCCGATGCCGAGCAGAACGCCAAGTACAAATGTAAATTATTTGGAATTGATGCAGCATAGTCAAATATATATCCATGCAAAGCTAGCAACTTAAATAACAAAATAAACAGAAACTGAATTAAAACTTTTCCAGCACTACTCAAGTATACAGGCATAGAAGATAAAACAAACTCTTATCTTTGAAGTCAACAGTTTTT